TTTTTCAAGAGAATCAAGTAAGAAGACAAGTCTCCAACAAGTTTGGAACAGGGAGAGGGAGAGAGAGACTTACATTGTTGTTGAGATAAGAATCTGGAGCTTGAGTTCCCATGGCTTATGTGTTGCAGAGAAACAAACCAAGGACAACGATGAAACCTATGCAGGTTTGAACTTGAATATATAGAGGAACCCGAGCCCGCCTTATCCTTTTGTATTTAAAGAAAAGTCGCACCTCACAAAGAGAAAGATGCAGAGGCTACCATTTGACTGCGGAATTCACACGTGCACGTTTATTTTTTTTAAAAATAATTCTACGCGTTATTTAAATTATTTATTTATTTATTTAAAATTTATAATATTAAATATATATTTATTAATATATAAAATTTATCTAAAAATAATATAAAAAATTATTCATCTATTAGGTGTTTACAAAATTTTACTAAGTCATGTATTATAGTATGGGTTAAAGTTAATTTTTTTTTAACATAAAAAAAATTAGAAAAAAAAGGAGAATTTTTTAAATCATTAATAGAAATAAAACTTTTCGATTAATAAAATCCAAGCACTTAATCTTAAAAGATGAATCACTGTCCTAATGAGTTGGTTCCATGGGTTAAAATCAATTGTCTTTTTTTTTTTTTTGTTGAAAATGAAATTTAATTTGAAAAATGTTATTGGGACAATCATTTTATTTCATTTTTTTGTGCAACTTGATGTGTCATTAAAATTATTAGTTCTTTTAATTCATATGAAACCCGTAATATTGAATGCATCAACTCATTTAATGACATGTAAAAATTATATAAAAAAATAAAATAAAAAAATTATCCCTATAACATTACCCATTTAATTTAACCCTTTCAATACAACAAATCCTAATCACGCAAGTGGCCACTCACCTTAAGGAGCATGGTTTGAATCCCACTTAATATTGACTTGTAATCTCCTTCCCTTCATTCTTCATGCTTTAAAAAAAAAACACTCTTTTAATGCGGAATCACCTCATCTCCTCCCTCTATTATTGAAAGACTGGACTAGTCCTCTCTTTATTATTAAAAATGTACTCAGTATCGTTCTTTGATTCAGAGAGTCTCCAATATTGTTTAATTTTGGTCATAAGATGGCAATAGTGACACGTTTATTTTATTTTTTAATATTTTTTTCAAAGATTCTAATTGTATGTGGCCCACTATTGCCAATTCCCCACGGATATGCCCTAGTCATTTTCTTGAATTTTATAAATATTATTAAATTTGTTAAAGAATTTATTTAATATGTACTTTAAAAATATAATAAATATATTTTTTATAATTTTATTACACTCTTAATTTATATTTTAAAAATATATATTAAAAAATTATTTATTAAATTATTCATGTAGTGGAATTGTTCATATAATTTCTTTTTTTTTTTTCTTTTATTTCCTTTTTTAAGAATGACA